GGGCCGGGGCCGGCGGGAGGGTCCTGGACGGCTCGAATGCGAGGGGCAGGACTGGGGACAGCAGGCACCGGGAGCGACGGGCCCAGAGGAGGAGGCGGAGGGGCCGGGGCCGGCGGGAGTCGGGGAGGGCTCGCGGGCAAGGGGCTCCGGGGCGGGCGGCGCGAGGCCCGGGCCGGCCTCGGAGAACTCGGGGCGGGCTGCCAGTAGCAGTCGGTGGGGAGGTCCTGGGTGTCCCGTGTGGAAGTGGGCTGAGGCTTTCAGGGCGCTAAGGCTGAGGGACAGTCTCCCCAGCCCACTCCCGCCAGGTGCGGGTTGGAGATTGCCCACGTCTAGGGGGCTTCGGGTGGGATGGCGGAGCATGTGGGGGGCCCTGGACCCACGGGGCACCTTGGCCGGTCCGGAGGAGTCGGGAGGAGCGAGGGGAGGAAGTCCGGGAGTCTAGGATGGGGTGTTAGGAATGGGAGTCTAGGTGTCTAGGATGGGAGTCTAGTTTCGGGGCGGTTGGGCGGGAGGAACCGAAAGAAAGATAGCTGTGGGAGGGCAGTGTTGAGGGGTCCCGCTCCTCATAGGAGGAAACTTTGGGGAGCCTGAGCATGTGTGGCAGAGTGCACGGGACGAGTTCCTGGGCTGGAGGCGCGGACAGGACAGAGAATGCATCCTAGGAGTCCGGGTGGGACAGCTTGAGAGTGGGCGCACCACTGTGGGGGTGTTGGGAAGTTGGGGTGATGGCCCTGAAATGGGGGGTGTGGGGGGGATGTCAGAGAGAGAGCTGAATTGGAGGGGTTGGCTGATCATGTCCATTGTGGAGACCGCGGCCTTTGGGTGAGAACAATGAGGAGTGGGGACACCCTGGGGTGATGCATTAGGGGGAGCATCTTGCACGGCGGGAGGGGAGCCAGAGGAGGTATCTCAGAGGCACCCTAGGGGGAGATGTGTCTGTGGACGGTCCTGGCAAGGCAACCGCAAGGCTAGTGGAGGATCCAGGAGAGGAATGTGCCCTGGGTTGAAGTGTGGAAGAGGCTGGGCTCTGTGACCTTGAGAAGTGTCGGTACTTTTGTAGAGAGTGTCTGGAGGGGCCTGGAGATGATGGGGAAGGCAGGATTTGAAGGGATCCAGGGATGGGCTGCCAGGAGTCTTCAGGCTCCCAGGCTGGGGTGTTATTAGCAGAAGTTGTCAGCACTTGCGTCTGGCAGCCCATCTTTCCTCTTTCCAGTTGTCATTTCCTATCTAGTTAAAGGAGGGACCCAACTAGTGTATATAACTGGTTAGAATTTTGTCCGTGGGCTGAATAATAAGGGCCTCTCACATTTGTATGTCTACTCCCCATCTTGGTTGGGTGGTAGGGAGGCTCTGCCTTAGATGGGAGAGGAACCCTTACATAAGTGCTCTTAGTTTCGTTGCCCACTGTACTTCCAAACCTCGTTCCCTGTGTATATCTCATTAGAGCTTCTCAATACCCCATTATGTAGGCAGGGCCAATGCCATTACCTCATTCAGCAATAATGATGGCAGCTGCTATTTATTCAGTGCGTATTATGTGTTGAGTGCTGTATTAAGCACTTTAGATACATGCTATCACACTGAGCTACAATTTCAGCCCTTTTTCTTTTGGGACAGAGTCTTGCTAAGTTGCCTGGGCTTGACTTGAACTTGGCAGTCCTCCTGCCTCAGCCTCCCAAAGTACTGGAATTACAAATGTGTGCCATGGCATCTGCTCTCCTCCCTCCCCTTTAATAAGTAAAAGAGGAATCAGGCTTTCAGAGGGCAAATGATTGATCAAGGGTCACGGTAGTGAGTGGCAGGCAGAGCTGGTCTATGTTCTTTCTCTCTCTGCCACTGACTATAGGTAAGAAAATTGGCTTAGTGAAGCTCGATCGCCTCCCCAGGTCACCCAGGTGGTCATAGAAGAGCTTGGCTGAGTCTTGGTCTTGAGTGGTTTTTCAGGGGGGAGGTTGATACTGGGAATTGAACTCAGGACCTTGCGCTTGCCAGGCAGGTACTTGTACCACTGAGCTATATCCTCAGTGAGTCTTGCTCTTGAGAACTTGGCATAAGTGCTCCTACAGCTCCCAACATACCACCTTTTCTTCTAGAGGAGAGCAGAGGTGAGTGTGTGTATCCATCCCCTTGTTTATGCCCCTCCTCGGAGTTGGAGGAGAATTTGGGAGCACTCTGCTAGGTTCTCTTACATCTTGGCTCCAGCACTCTCACTGTGTTTTTGTTTTGTTACATCGGTAAGAATGCAATTTCAGGCATGTCTGTTTATATGAACATACATGTCATACACGCATGTATATGTGCATGTGTGTATGTGAATGACAAGAAAAAGTATCTTATTCTCTGCATCATGCCTCCCCCACCTGTCGTTATCAGTAGTTTAGGTGCGCATGTGCATGGGTGTGATGGATGACATCATACTGTATGTACCACCATGAGTTTGTTCTGGAATCATGTTTTGGTGTTAACTTTCCTATCAGCAAAGAGCTGTTTCTCTGGTATTCCACTGTGTACTTGTACTATAGCCTTTTTAACTTGATCCCTTTTGGTGGACTTTGAGGATTGTTTCCCATTTTTCTCCTATCAGGAATGGCTTTGGTGGATATGCTTTATCTTCCTGTGTGAGTGTGAAGCAGAATGGAGGGGTGGAATAGTGGAGCAGAAGTGTTTATAAAGTGGTGATAACTCGTACACATCTCTACAGCAGCACTTACAGAAGGCCCCAACTTCCCTTCCCAGCTGGGCACTGGCAGGCTTCTCATGAACCCTGAAGCACTGAACCTGGCTGTTCTGAGTGCCCAAGGTGCGGCCAGTGCTCAGGACACAGGTGTTAGACAAGGCCTTGGCAGGAGACACTGACTTGGAGCAGAGGGTGTGGAGACGCTGTCTGATAGTAGGCAAGAATGTGTTTGTGGCAGATATCAGATTTATTTTCAGTCTAATAATGTACAAGCGATGTGGTTTCTGCCCCCAGAAACTTCCCCAGGCCAGCACAGGAGGTGGTTTTCGCAGGAGACTACAGAGAGCTATATATGCTCATGCATAGTTAACTTCCAGCTCAAAGAGCCCTGCAGCCCTGCCTGTGTGCTGTGCCATACCGTGCCGCACCAAGTGCTTCCAGAAGGAACTTTCTGGGAAAGGATCTGATCTGGGTGTTCATGTGGGAGCAAGGGAGCTGCCTGGTGTGGAACTGTCCCCTCCCACGCTTAAGACTCCCAGTGGTGGGACTGGGGATTTAGCTCAGCAGCACAGCGCCTGTTTGGCAAGCTCAAGGTTGTGAGTTCGATTCCCAGTACCGGAAAAAAACAACCAGAAAAAAGACTCCCAGTGGAAACTTCTCTGTGCCAGGAGCTTCAGAAGCTTGGGAAGGAGGAGCACCAGAGCTGCAGGGCTCCCAGCACTGCACTGGGACCCAGAGACAGACAGATTGAAGAAGGGGTGGAGAGGCTTCAGCTCCCAGGAGGAGTGCAGAAGCGCGGGAGAGGCTGCCTTTCTGGAGAGAGACACAGCCCTGTCCTAAAGTAAGGTTTGGAGGCTAGTGTGTTGCCTGGCTGGCCAGAGGGAGAGGCAGTGGGCAGAAGTGGTGAGCAGAGCCCTTCTAGATCTCAGTCTCACCTGAGGCCCTGGCCTGTACTATAGATCAGATGGTAGGGGCTGTTGGTCTTTGTGGCCCAGAGAGACTGACTGGCCACTAGCACTTCCTTCCCCTTTCGCTGGGTTTCCACAGTCCAAGACACTTCAAGCACATCTTTCTGATTCTATTTCCTTCTTTCTTTTCCTTTTGGTGTTTTTTTTTATTTTTTGTTTTGTTTTTTCAGTAAATGGGGATTAAACCCAGGGACTTCACACTGAGCTACATCCCAGCTCTTTTTGTATTTTATTTTGAGTCACTAGATTGCTTAGGCTGGCCTCAAGTGCTGGGATTACAGGCATGTACCATGAAGCCTGGCTGTCTCCTCCCTTCTCTGCCAGAGGAACCAGGAGGGGGACAACACAGCAGAGTAGCTGGCCTTGCATCATCACCAGCTGGGAGATGAGGCCTCAGGGTGGCTCAAAAAGGGAAGCTGAGCAAGGGAGAAGACTGAGCCAGCCTCTTTCCCTAGATCTGCTCCCCCTGCTCCCCCTCCGCTTTTCTCAGACCTGGTCCTGGTCCAGGCCTCTGCCATTTTTCCCTGGAATTTTTGTGATTGTCCCTTCTGTGAATGGTGTCTCTGCATTTAGCTTTGCTAACTCCATAATCAGTTCTGCGCATTATGGCTGGACTTTGTACATGCAATCCGATGACATCTCTCCCTTGCTTAAAACACTGCTGTGGCTTCTTTGTGTTCTCATGGCCCACGATCCTTTGTCAGGCTTACATTCTTCTCAAATTTTCCTGACTTTTCTTTTTTGTGTGTGCAGTCCTACGGATTGAACCTAAGACCTTTGTATTGAGCTATATCCCCACCCCTCCTTTTTAAAATTAAAAAAAATTTGAGAGCCTGGGTGGTGGTGCATGCCTGTAATCCCAGCACTTAGGAGGCTGAGGCAGGAGGAATGTTGCAAGTTCGAGACCAGCCTGGGCTACAAAGTGAGCTCAAGGCCAGCCTGAACTGTATAGCGAGACCTTGTCTCAAAAAGACAAAAAAAAAAAAAAAAAAAAAATTGAAACCATCTTGCTATGTCACTAAGTTGCCCAGGCTGCACTTAAACTTTCAGTTCTCCTGACTCAGCCTCCAAGGTTGCTGGGATTACAGGCTTTTGCCACCACGCTGGCTCCTCACTGACTTTTTTACATAGTCATTCTGGGTCTGTGATGCTGGGATCAATCCCAGGCCTGTGTGAGCATGGTGAGCGCTCCACCACTGAGCTGCAGCCCCAGCCCTTTTAGGTGCATTCTGACACAGCCATCCTGGCTCTTTTTGAGTTCCTCAGGCCACTGTGCCACTCTTTTCCCTGCCTTCTGCCCAAAGCATCCTTCTCTCACCCATCTTCTGGTCAAACTCAGGTCTTAGCCAAAAGGTCATTTCTTTGTCCTTCCTCCTATTGCATTCCTTTGCTCCTCCTCACGGCCCTGGTCACATTTTGTGTGGGTCGTCGCTGCCCATACCTGTCCCCTGTACTCGATGGAGAGCCCCTTTGGAGCAGAAGCCTCGTGGCTTTTCTCTTCCTCTCCAGTGCCTTGCACAGTGCCTGGCATGCTGGGAAGACCCCCCACAGGGTCGCCAGGCTGCACTGCACAGGGCCTGTAGAAGGATCAGTAAGAGGCCCAAAAAGGGAGGCAACAGTGAGGCAGACACTTGGGGCTTATACCTGGTGACAGACCTTACCTTTCTGCCTTGTGAAACTGTGCGTGGAGTAGACTTGGGGACTGAGAAGATACGCAGAGGACAGGTACGAGTTACATGGCTGACTGGCTGAGGATACTTGTGCATGTGTGTGTTTGGGAAAAGTGTTAAGAGGACAGAAGAGGTATCTTTTTCATGTGTATCTGCTGACATTTATTTGTTGCTTATTTGTCCTGTAGTCCCCCCTGCTAGAATACAAACCCCATCTTGCTTAGGGCTGTATCCTGATGCGTAGTTGGGGTTCACAAATATTTGTGGCATAGATAAACAATCTTTTGTTATACATGAGGGGATGTGTGTGCCTTTTTATCTCTTCATAAGGAGGCAAACCATTGCAGAGTGCATGTAGGACAGATTCCTAGTGGTGAGACTGATGGGACAGAGTGTGTGCGTGGATCATGGTTGTGGATACTGCCGGCTTCTCCCCCAGGAGGGTTGCTGCCGTACCTGGCCTAGGAGTATGTGTGGGTGCCGCGTCCCTGGTGTGCTGGGTATCACTTAGCATAAGCTCAGTTCTTTGCTAACCCAAGGGCTACTTCTGGCCCTGGAGCAGGACAGAGGTGATAGCTGCTCCAGGTGCACATGGTAGGTAGGCCAGGGTCTTGCAAGTCCCAAGGAGAGGAAGAGTGGCCTAGGTGAATATCTGAGAGGCTGCCCGGAACAGACGGAGCACAGCTTGGAGGAGGTGTGTTGGGTCAGCCCGGGAGCTTCTGGTGGAGCCCTTGAAGCTCATGATGCCCAGGCAGCATGGCGCTAGGAAGATGCAGCAGTTCACAAGGGCAGGGGACAAAATCCACAGCATTTCTACCCTATGGGTCTTGCGTTGTACTCCTTTTGAAGTTATGAAGAACAGACAAATAAAAATGACAAGGGGTAGAGGTAGGAGCTGTCAGTTAATCTTAATTCTGAGCTAGGCCTTGATGGAGAACCGAACACAAGGAAAGTCTCTTGTGCACTCCATTTTCTGGAGGCACAGATGGAGGTTAGGTGACCTGCTTTAAGCAAATAAGGGGCCTAGCCAGGTCTGGTGCTCACATTGTCCCTGTAGGACCGGTGGAGCACTTTGGGAGAACCCTTGCATGAGCCCTGTGCCCAGGGCTTTGGCTAAAGGGCTTCAAAAACATGGTCAGGGGCCAGGATCCTGCCTCGAAGGTCGTTGGTGCAGTGTCTCTAAATGGCCTGTTGACAGACAGCAGACTGGGGCAGCCTGAGGCAGCCTGAGCCAGCAGATGGTGTGAAATGCTTGGCAGGAGCCTGGGCCATCCTCAGGGGCAGACCTCAGGGGAGGGTTGGTCCCCACAGTGGGGATGGTAGGGATCGGGTGGTAAAGCTTCTGCACTGTAGCGGGAGCTAAGCCAAGACACCCACTCTTGTCCCTAAGCTTCAGAAGTAGCTTCCTACGCCTCTGGGAGACAGATGCTCTGGAGGGAATAGTGGGTTGCCACCTCCACCAGCAACCTGAGAGATAGCAGCCAATGAGAGTATGTGAGGGGGAGGTCAGGACTGTTAACATCCATCCCCCCTGCCTGCAGTCCTGGGCCTGACTCCCCCCCAACACACAGCTAAGTTAGGTCCATGCTAGCCCAGTTTTTCTTTTGTTTGTTTGTTTCTAGGTTTTTGGGATTTTTTTTTGTCTTTTTGAGACAGGGTCTCCCTGTGCAGTTCAGGCTGGCCTTGACCTTACTTTGTAGCCCAGGCTGGCCTCAAACTTGAAACGATCCTCCTACCTTAACCTCCCGAATGCTGGAATTGCAGGTGTGTGCCACCATGCCCGGCTTGTTTTTAGGTTTTGTTTTGTTTTGGTCTTTTGAGACCGGGTCTTGCTATATAGTTCAAACTGGCCTTGCACTCATTCTGTAGTTTAGGCTGGCCTCAAATTTATGGTGATCCTCTAGCCTCAGCCTCCTCGGTGCTGGGATTGCAAGTATGTGGCACCACGCACAGTTGGCTCCGCTTTAATTTCATGGGCTAAGAAGTCTTCAGCTCTTTCATTGTGGGTGACATGGCCTGGGACACTGGAGACAGACATAGCCTTTTTAGTGTTTTACTGAACCTTAGTGTCACTGTGGCGTCAGGGCCCGAGATGCACCAGCTGAGTAAGGGGCTTACTACCACCAAGCCTGAGCTCCACCGTTCTGTCCTTTCTGTCCCCCTAGGCTCAGGTGGCCTTTCTCCAGGGAGAGCGGAAGGGGCAAGAGAATCTAAAGACGGACCTGGTGCGGCGGATCAAGATGTTAGAGTATGCACTGAAGCAGGAAAGGTGAGCCCTGCACTGTGCCAGCCACCTTGCCTTTCAAGGGTGGCCGCCTGCTCAGGATCCCATCTTGCAGGAGAAGGGCATAAATTGAGCATGGTGGGCGATTCAGAGTTGGCATCAGAGGGGTGTTCATGACAGTGGCAGCCCCCTGGTTGCCACCTCCTGGGCATTCACCCTCTTGCTCATTTCCCACCTGCCTGCTGGGTTTTGTTGGCTGTGTTTCCCATAGGGCGTAGAGGCCTCAGGACTGGCCTAGCAGCTGGCCTGACTCCAAGAAGCCGGCTGCACCACTGCCTCTCCACGCCACTTCCTGGGGGCACCTGGGTGTGGTGGGCGGGTTGTGAGTAGATGCGCGAAGCTCTGGGCTTGGGGCTTCCAGGGGCTGCTGGCCCTGTCTACTCTCTGGTCTCCTACTCATTAATCTTGCTTGTTTAGGGCCAAATATCATAAACTGAAGTTCGGGACAGACCTGAACCAGGGGGAGAAGAAACCAGATCTGCCAGAACAAGGTACCCTGCCCCGTGTGCTCAAGCTTCCTGGGCTGGGGCCATGTAAAGAGGGCGCTCTTTCGTACTCTGCTCCTGCCTGGCACAGTGCTGGCCTTCTGTGGGGTGAGCTCCCTCTGCGGGGTGAGCTCCCTCTGCGGGGTGAGCTCCTTCTGCGGGGTGAGCTCCCTCTGCGGGGTGTGCTCCCTCTGCGGGGTGTGCTCCCTCTGTGGGGCGAGCTGTCTGAGGCACTGGCAGCGCATTACCTCCCTCTCTGGGGAGAGGGAGCCAGCTATTTATATATAGGGCACTGTGAAAAGCTCAGAAAGACTTCATTGAAGAGGCAGTGTTTGCAGTGAGTTGTCATTCAATTATTCCACCAAGAAAAGTTTGTGAGGTACCGGCTTTGTGTCGCAGAACAAGGACACAGAACAAGGAAAGCAAGATTGACATGGTCTCTGCCCTCTGGGCCAGTATAGTCTAAGCCCCTTGAAGGAAGAGTCAGTTCCAGGGCGGGGAATAAGGGCGGTATGTCAGAACAGGGAGTCAGTTGTGTGCCTGGAGCAGATGGTATGGCAGTGTGCCCTTCAGGCTGGCCTTGGTAACACCGAAGCTTGGCTGAGTGGAGCTTCGGGGGTCTGGCCTGCCTGGCTGAGAGTGATTATTACATTAGGTCAGAGTTCTGTAACTATGACGTAAGTCCCACAAGGCAGGGCTGTGTAGCCCAAGATGCTAGTTAAGCACAGCATAAGTGCCCAGTAAATACCTGAATAAAATACTAAACAGCTTATCCAACTGAACCCTCAAAGCAGTCTCAAGAGATAGATGCTGTTATTCCCCTGACTTCCAGCAGAGGAAGCTGAGGCTCAGGTGGGTGAGCTAACCTGCTCCCCAGATCCCACAGAGGTGTGGAAAGTAGCAGAGCTGCACTTCATGCCCGCTGCCCATTCTCTTAGAACCAGGCCAGCTCCTGGCTAGGAAAATAACAGCCAGCACAGCCGTTAATGGTGCAGATCTGCCCTTAGCTGGGAGTGGTTTGGGGAGTGACAGTGAGGAGATCAGAGATGGGGAGTGCTTCCAGGAGTGAGAAGAGTTGGGATGGTGGCGCATGCCTGTAGTCCTAGCACTGAGGCAGGAGGATCACCATGAGTTCAAGGCAAGTCTGGGCCATATAGTGAGTTCAAAGCCAGCCTGAACTAAGTAGTGAGAACCTGTTTCAAAACACACACACACACACGCACACACACACACTCTCTCTCTCTCTCTCTCTCTCTCTCTCTCTTTTTACTGAAAACGGTGGGTTTAGGACACTCAAGAAGGGACAGCGAGTATTGGTGTCAGCGATGGATTTGGGCCAGGGGTGAAGAAGGTGGGCTAGGTGATGGGTGAGTGGAAGTGCTCTGAAATGGCCTCTTCCTTTCTCCCTGCACCAGTTCCCAATGGCCCTGTGGAGTCCGTCACCCTGGAGAATAGCCCGCTGGTATGGAAGGAGGGACGGCAGCTTCTCCGACAGTGAGTATGGGGTCCAGGCCGGGATGGGGCAGGCTGTGGTACATTTGGCTCAGGAGATAACCCCAAAGACTCCACAGTCCTTCCTGCCCCTGCTGGGGATACCCAATCTCTCAGGAGCCCAGGCAGCAGCAGTTGGAATAGCTTGTCATCCTGGGGGTGGAGCTCCAGCTGGGGAAGAACTGGAGGGGGAAGATCTACTGCAGTTCCCAGGCTTGGGGACACTTGTTCTTGGAACATACTCTTTAGTGCTTCTGTGGACTTTTTGAAAGGCACACTATTGTGTATGTGTGTGAGGTGTATAGAACCATACAACTGAGTGCCTCAGGCATTGGAAAACATAGCAGAACAAAAAAGAAAAGTAAAAGCACTCAATTCTACCACCTGAGGAATTCTGTAGCTCCATAAACAGTTTGATGTGTGTATTGTTGATCTTTTAACATGTTCCTGCCGGCCTGAACCATTGGTGATACATGCCTGACTCTCCCATCGGTGGCTCATACCACTTGGCACTGTCCTATGCCACTCAGTGGGGCAGTAATGAACATACCACTTGGGGCCGGGGATATAGCTCAGTGGTACAATGCCTGCCTAGCAAGCGTGAGGTCATGAGTTCAATCCCCTGTACCACAAAAAAGAAAAAAAAAAAGAATATACCACTCACTGGTGGTTCAGGCTTCCTGGCAGCAAGACATAGGAGGTATGGCTTGCCTGTCCCTCTCATAGCTGTGTGTGTGTGTGTGTGTGTGTGTGTGTGTGTGTGTAAAAGCTAGGATTCCTCCTTTACTGTTTTGTAATGCATTGCTTTTGCTAAGTGTTACGGACACCTTCTATATAAATTACTTATGTTGTATTTTGTTGAGGTGGTTTTCATCTTTCAGTACTGCAGGCAGTGTAACAAACATCAAGCTGCTGTCCTTGACTTCCTGAAGCTCCATAACTACAAGTGTACCGGCCAGTGTCAAGCATGCGCAAACAATACCCCCACATGACTATGCAAAGTAATGATGATCGACTGGGCATGGTGGCACATGCCTGTAATCCCAGTACTTGGGGAGGCTGAGGCAGAAGGATTGCCATGAGTTCAAGGCCCGCGTGGGCTACATAAGCAAATTCAAGGCGAGCCTGAACTACATAGTGAGGTCCTGCCTCAAAAAAATCAAAAAAGTCTGGCAAGCCTGAGGTCATGAGTTCAATTCCTGGTACCAAAAAAAAAAAAAAAAAATCAAAAAAGAAAATAATGATGATCACAATGGACCACACTCATCGAGTACCTTTTTTGTGCCTGGCTCTGTGCCAGATATTTCCCATACATTAATTCGTTTTCTAGTCCCTGTCTCTGTGTAGAACAATACCCAGCATCCCCTCAGTTTCATAGGCAAGAAAGTCAAGGCGCAGAGAGGAAGTCTAGTTGCCGCAGGGCACCTAGTTACCGTGTCATGGGCTGGGGTGGGGCCTCGGGCAGTCCACCTCTGAGCCCCCTCGTTAGCCACTACACCTCCCTGCCTCTCCTGTTGGGGGATGGCAGCTTCAGCCGCACACTGGCACCTGAGAGATGAGACCAGCAGAGGGAGGCAGGCGGCCTCTGGTGAGAGGTGGCCTCAGCTCCCCAGGGACCCGAGACCAGACCTGGCTTCCCAGCGAGGCCTCTCTCTAAGGGTCAAGGAACGGCTCTCTCATCTTTGAAGACACAGATACCTACAATTGCCTTTTTATTCTTTTTTTTTTTTTTGTTTTTCCCTTAGGCTATTCTCAGCTGGCTTCATTTTTTTTTTTTTTTTTTTTTTTTTTAAATGCAGAAGCAATGAATGCTCAGTTGTAGAACTAAAGACCCTAACACTTTTTTTTTTTAAATAAAAACTGGAATCCCTGGCTGGGGATATAGCTCCGTGGTGCAAGCGCCTGCCTGGCAAGCGCGAGGTCATGAGTTCGATTACCAGTACCAAAACAAAAAAAATGAATCCCTTGGAACTTAACATTTTCATTGTGCTGTTTAGCATAGCCATTTCATGCCCTTTTGCTATAGTTACTTTGGGTTGTGTCCCTCTTAGTACTTTGTTGCCACAGCCCTGTCCTTGGATGTTGAAGTCAGCCCTCATACTTGGGCTCTCCCTTGCGGTGTGTTGGGATACCTTGGGTAGCAGTGATCCAGTGGCCCAAGGCTTCCATTGGCAGCAGTCTTGAAAGTGGCCTTAGCCGGGCATGGTGGTACATGCCTGTAATCCCAACCTGCCTCTCCTGTGGAGAGGAGGCTGAGGCAGGCAGGCCTCTTTGCAAGTTTGAGACCAGCCTGAGCTATAAAGTGAGCTCAAGTTCAGCCTGAACTGCATAGCGATACCCTGTCTCAAAAATGCTCAGTTGTAGAACAAAACACAAAACAATAACAAAAAAAAAAGTGGCCCTGCTGTGTCATGCACTGGGTTTATGCAAGACGGGTGCCTATTCTTATGTGACCCCTTGGAAGTTGGTGACAGGCTGGGCCCTATGGTCTGAGAAGAAGCACGGGGGCATCTGACCCACCTGGCCCTGCCCCCTGCAGGTATCTGGAAGAGGTGGGCTACACAGACACCATCCTCGACATGCGGTCCAAGCGTGTGCGCTCCCTGCTTGGCCGCTCCCTGGAGCTCAACGGGGCTGCCGAGCCCGGCGAGGGGGCCCCCAGGATGGCACCTAGTCCTGGGGGCCTCAGTGGCGGCGAGTCCCTGCTGGTGAAGCAGATTGAGGAACAGATCAAGAGGTGAGCCCTGGGCCTGGTGGGTACCTCTCTCCCCCAACTTCATCTCCAGCCCCTACTCCCCATGCTTAGACCTGTGCACCCCTCAGCAGCATGCATTTACTGAAGGCAAACCCTTTCCAGGACATGGCAGGGAGCACACGTATGGTCACTACCCTTGGAAGCGCTCCTTCATTCTTTTTCTCCTCAATAATTGGTATTCAGCTGAATAAATAATGTCATTACTAGGTGGCACTAGTGCTGGAAAGAACATCAAACATAAGAGTGACAAGAGGTAGGGATGGTGGCGCATGCCTGTCATCCTAGGGCTCAGGAGGGTGAGGCAGGAGGATTCCGAAGTGTTCAAGGCCAGCCTGAACTATGTAGAAAGACCCTGTCTCAAACCACACCCCCCAAAAAACCAAAAGGATCACTTGAGCTCAGTAGTCCAGGTCCAGCAGAACAACATGGCAAGACCCTGTCTTCAAAAAGGATAGGAGAAGCCAGGCGTGGTGGCACACGTCTGTAATCCCACCACGTGGGAGGCTGAGGCAGAAGGATCATTGTAAGTTTGAGACCAACCTGGGCTACAGAGTGAGCTCAAGGCCAGCCTGAACTGCATAGTGAGACCTTGTATCAAAACAGACAAAAAAAAGCGAGAAGGAAGAAAAAAAAAAAAAAGAAATAGTGCTACATTAGGTGGGGTAGACAGGGAGGCCCTCTGTGTGGAGTGACTTGGACAGAGGGTAGCTGAATGGAGAATATCCCCAGCAGAGGGGATTGTGAATGCCTGGATTCTGAGGCAGGAAAGGCCTGGCATGTACCGGAAGCAGGTGTCAGCCGGGCTACAGGGGAGGAACATGTGGCCTGTGGTCTGTGGTAAGACTCAGGAGGCAGTTTGAGGAGGGCTGTCCTGGCAATGATAAAGACTTTGGATTCTAGCCACATGCTGTGACATGCCTCTAGTCCCAGCACTCTTAAAAGGCTGAGGCAGGAAGATTGTAAATTTGAGCCCACCTAAGCAACTTAAGAGACTTAGACTCACCTCAAAATAAAAAATCAAAAATCAAAATGGACTGGTGATGTAACTCAGTGCAGAGGCCCTGCATTCGCATTCGCATTCGCATTCGCATTCGCATTCTCATTCTCATTCTCATTCTCATTCTCATTCTCATTCTCATTCTCATTCTCATTCTCATTCTCATTCTCTCTCTCTGTCTCTCTGTGTCTCTCTCTCTCTCTCTCTCTCTCTCTCTCTCTCTCTCACACACACACACACACACACACACACACATAATATCTGCCTTTGGGGCTGTGGGAAACCAGTGGTTTCTGGCCAAGGTATAATGTGATCTGCCATGTTGATCTGCTTTTAGGAGAGGCTGGAGGCAAGGAGACTGGGTGGGAGATTTCTGCAGTGTCCAGACAGGGTACTGGAGAAGTGAGAGAGAGGCTTTCACTAAGTTGCCCAGCTTGTGCTCAAACTTGAGATCATCCTGCCTTAGCCTCCCTGAATGCTAGGATTATAGTGCTGGGGATTTAGCTCAGTGGCACAGCACCTGCCTAGCAAGAGTGAGGTCATGAGTTCGAGTTCAGGTACCAGAAAAAAACAACAACAACAACAAAAAATGCTAGGATTATAGTAGTTGCTTCATGATGGTCAACACTGTTTAAGACCTTGAGGTGAAAGAGGGTGACCAGGACTTCATCTGAGTCACTGAGTAGCAGCTCCTGAGGTGGGGCATAGCAGGGGCTGTTGAGGTTGAGCACGGCTGCGTATCCCATGTGGGGAGGTTGCATAAGCTTGGGGCCCTGCAGTGCCTAAACCTAGCTTTGGTTCACCAGCACACAGCTGTTTTGGAAAGCCGCAGGACCGTGTACAGTCACTGAGGGAGTGTGGACAGCCGGGGAAGAGATCCGGGCGCAGGATTTGGATCCTCCCACATGTGGAGGTTGACGGAGGGAGGGAGCAGCAGGGGAGGAGGGCTGGCGCAGGGTGGCTCTGGGGAGAGGAAGCCAAGGTGGCGTCTGCTTGCCTGTCAGTGAGTGGGGTGGTTCTTCTAGAAGCCAGGAGGCTAGAGCAGTGGGTGCTGGCCTGGCAGTGGGGGCAGGCAGGGTAAGTCATGGTGGTCTCCACCAGTGGCAACTGGTGGCGCTGGCAGGAACTCTGGGGCGGCAGGAAGGAGGTGTTGTCCACTTGCGCTTGGATCCCACCCCGCATTCTACCCTGGAGTTGGGGTTGGCAGACACCCCCAGAGTGCTTGTCAGCTTGAAGGCCAGGAGGTGGACATAAGAGTGCCAGCTGGCGGTGATGCAGTGCAGGCTCCACAGAGTGGTTCTGCTGGTCGGTGGCCGAGCGTTTGTGGGCGGCAGTTCCTCCTTGCTGCTGGCAGTTCTGCTTCTGCCCCCTACCCGAGGCTGAGCTGGTGGTATGGTCTTTTTTTTTTTTAATTGATACATTTTAGATACACGTAGGGGTCACATTCATCATAGGGAGTTTGCACCTGTACAGGATGTATTTTGCTGCTTTTTTTCCCATTCCCCTGCCCTCCTTTCAACCCCTCTTCCTCTTCTTATTTACAAAGCTTTGTTTCCATTTTTCCTTCCTTTTTTTCTCTTGTCCTTTCTTTCCTTTCTCCTTCCCTTCTCCATTGTTCCCCTTCTCATTCTACTTTTTTTTTTTGGTGGCCCTGGGGTTTGAATCCAGGAGCTCTCTGCCACTGAACCATGTCCCCAGTCCTTTACCTTTTCTTTTTCTTTTCTCTTTTTTTGAGACAAGGTCTCACTATGTAGTTCAGGCCGGCCTGTGACTTGCTGTGATCCTCTTGCCTTGGTTTGCCAAGTGCTGGGATTATAGGCATATTTTACTGTGCCTAGCCCTTTTTTAGTTTTAGACAGGGCCTTCCTAAGCTTCCCAGACTGAGCCAGACCTTGTTATTATTTCGGGGGAGGGGGTTTTGTTGTTTTGTT